TTTCTTTCCTTCCTTCCTTCTTTCCTTCCTTCTTTCTTTCCTTCCTTCCTTCTTTCCTTCCCACTTTCCTTCATTCCTTCTTTCATTTCTCCCTTCTTTCCCTCCTTCCTTCTTTCCTTCTTTCCTTCCTTCCTTCCTTTTTTCCTTCTTTCCTTCCTTCTTTCTATCCTTACTTCCTTCTTTCATTTCTTCCTTCTTTCCCTCTTTCCTTCTTTCCTTCCTTCCTTTTTTCCTTCTTTCCTTCCTTCTTTCTATCCTTACTTCCTTCTTTCATTTCTTCCTTCTTTCCCTCTTTCCTTCTTTCCTTCCTTCCTTTTTTCCTTCTTTCCTTCCTTCTTTCTATCCTTACTTCCTTCTTTCATTTCTTCCTTCTTTCCCTCTTTCCTTCTTTCCTTCCTTCCTTTTTTCCTTCTTTCCTTCCTTCTTTCTATCCTTACTTCCTTCTTTCATTTCTTCCTTCTTTCCCTCCTTCCTTCTTTCCTTCTTTCCTTCCTTCCTTCCTTTTTTCCTTCTTTCCTTCCTTAATTCCTTCTTTCATTTCTTCCTTCTTTCCCTCCTTCTTTCTCTCCTTCCTTCCTTTCTTTCTTTCTTTCCTTCCTCCCTCCCTCCCTCTCCATCCAGCAGCACAATTCTTCTAAACACTCCCACAAGAGGAATTTTGTTCCCTGTTTCACCTTCATCTCTGACCAGAATGTGGCCACAAGTCCTCCCTCTTAAAAGAATTCCATAATATCTTTATTTTGGCCCTCGACCAGGACAGAGTAAAATCATGAGATCAACAGACGGTGTTTTGTTCCTTTCCTCCCTCCCTCCCTCCCACCATCTCCATCCTTCCTTCCCTTCCCTCCCTTTCCTTTCGCCTCTGTCCCTCTCCTTCCTTCCTTCCCTTCCCCTTCTTTTGTTTCTTCCTTCTTCCCACCTTCTTCTCTCCCTCCCTTCTTCTCTCCCTTTCCTTTCTCTTTTTATCTTCCTTCCTTTCCCTTCCCTATTCCTTCTTTCCTTTCGCCTCTGTCCCTCTCCTTCCTTCCCTTCCCCTTTTCTTTCTTCTTCTTTCCTCACTTCCTCCTCTCCTCCGCTCCCTCCTTCTCTGCGTTTCCTTTCTTCCTTTCCTTTCTCCTGTCCCTCTCCTTCCTTCCTTCCTCCTTTTCGTTTCCCTTTTGTTTGTTCCTCCTTTCCTCCCTCCCTTCTTCTCTGACTTTCCTTTCCCTTTTTCATCTTCCTTTCCCTTCCCTTCTCTTTTTCCTCCCCCTTTCCTTCTTCCTCCCCCTTTCTTCCCTTCCTTCTCCTTTCTCTCCTTCCCTCCCAGTTCTTCTCCTTTGCTCCTTTCTTTTCCGCCCTTTCAGTCTCTTTCTCTCTTTTTCTTTTCAATTAATTTTCAGGCTGGCTATCTTTTTTTTTTTAAGCGCCCCCCCTCCTCCCATTTTCCTTACCGGCCAGGAGGAAAAGGACGCCTCCTAAAACCGCGATCCAGTTTTTGGCCACGGGGTTCTGTTCCGCCACTTTGGTACACTTCATGCCAATAACGCTGACCACCGAACCCAGGAAACCCAGCAGGATGGAAACCACCATCAAGGCCCGGGACGTCTGGATGTGAGCTGCAAGGCAAGGCACCATTCTGTCCCACGCAGTTCTCAAAGCAACAAGAACTTGCAGGGAGAACCCGTACGGATCGTCCTTGACTTACAAAGGCAACTGAGCCCCAACACTTCCGCCGCTAAGTGAGACCGTTTTATAAGTTGAGTTTTCTTCGCCCCGTTTTTACAAACTTTCCTGCCCTGGTTGTTAAGTGAATCCCTGCGGTCCTTAAGCGAGTCCCACGGTTGTTAAGCGAATCTGGCTCCCCCCGTGGACTACACCGGTCAGAAGGTCGCAAAACGGATCACGTGACCTCCCCTGGACTCTGCGGCCATCATAAGTAGGAGTCAGCTGCCGAATGTCTGAATTTAAATCACGTGGCCATTGGGACACTGCGACGGTCGTTAAGTGGGAATAAGAGTCCTAAACAACGCATGCCGTGGTGATGGGCGGTATAGAAATTTAGGGAAAATAAAGTAGAAATAAACAAACACAACATAAATATTCCCCAATTCCATTTTTAAAGGATTATCTTGGTAAGATTCAAAGACGGGGGTTATTTGAAAAATTCCCCGTCTGTCCAAAAGAGGAGACCACCAGATAAGCAGGGGGTTGGACTAGATGACATCTGAGGTCCCTTCCAGCTCTATTCTGATTGATGGATTGAAATGGCATAGAGGTCTCCTGCTTGAGCAGGGGGCTGGACTAGAGGACCTCCAAGGTCCCTTCCAGCTCTATTCTGATTGATTGATGGATTGAAATGGTCCAGGGTCTCCTGCTTGAGAAGGGGGTTGGACTAGAAGACCTCCAAGGTCCCTTCCAGTTCTGTTCTGATTGATGGATTGATGGATTGAAACGGCATAGAGGTCTCCTGCTTGAGCAGGGGGCTGGACTAGAGGACCTCCAAGGTCCCTTCCAGCTCTATTCTGATGGATTGAAATGGTCTACAGTCTCCTGCTTGAGCAAGGGGTTGGACTAGAAGACCTCCAAGGTCCCTTCCAGCTCTATTCTGATTGATTGATGGATTGAAATGGTCTAGGGTCTCCTGCTTGAGCAAGGGGTTGGACTAGAAGACCTCCAAGGTCCCTTCCAGCTCTATTCTGATCCTTGGATTGATTTCCAATCCGGCAGCCAAACCAGGAGAGAGAGAGATCACCAAATCTTCTCCAAAAACCACCCCCCTTATTTTGGCAAGCCCTTGCAGGCATCCCCGCCCCTTGCCCACATCCATGGCATTCCTTTTCCACACCGCTACTTTCTCTCCTAGCTGGGCAGGACCGGAATCCACAGAAACTAAAACATTTTCAAGTGTGGGGGGGAAAAAACAGAAACGCAAAAACCGAGAAAAAAACAGGCGACAGAAATCTCAGCCTTCGGAGCACAGCAGAAAACACACCTCATCCCTCCAGTCCACCCCCAGCCCCCCCCAAAACAGCTGGATTTCTAGATGCGAAAGTTTCACGCGTGTCGTGGCTGCCTTCCCACCACCTGGGTACCCAGAAAGAAAGGAAGGAAGGAAAGAAAAAAAAGGAAGAAGAAAAAGGAAGGAAGGAAGGAGGGAGGAAAGGAAAGAAGAAAAAGAAAGAAAGAAAAGAAGGAGGGAAGGAAGGAAGGAAAAGAAAGGAAGGAAGGAAGAGAAAGAAATAAAGCGGC